ATTGATTGCACAGTAATTTAAGGTACTTTTGAAATCCTCTCAGACAGTTACAGACATTGACGCACATTCGTTTGGTTACTGTTGCCTTACTAAAATTATGGACTTTATTAAAGGGCTACGGAAGCTTCTTGTGAGGTGACTGGAAGAAATTTTTCCCTGCCACGCGTCAATACCTTAGGCCTGGTTCAGACGCCGTACTTTTCATGTGCCGAACATAACTGAATAAGTTCGACTTTGGAGCGACACTGGCGCGACATCTGATTCAGACGGCGTACCGTGTGTCGAACCCAAGTTAAGTTCGACAAAAGTTCGACAGACTCTGTCGAACTTAACGCTTTTGCCGCACCAAACTAAAACTGCCGTACCAAATTGATTCAGACGCCGCTCTTTTGCCGTACTTTATTCATCGGGTTAGGTTCGGCACGTGAGTGGCGCGGCGTCTGAACCGGGCCTTACTATTTCATATGACGAACCAGCTTTCCATAAGCAGATTATTTTTTGTTATTGTTACACTGCAAATCAACGTCCTTTTTTAAAATGCTTTTCTTGTTCTGGGTTTAAAGTAACAAAAAAAGAAAGCAAAAGGCTTTCAGTATAGGCTAGTATTTCTTTGACCAAGTGTATTGCAGCTGTCAAATTTTAATGAAACTATTTACTCAGACAAACAAAGTTAATGTGAATGAAAGAGAAATCATCGCACCTCAGAAAAGGATAAGGTCCCTTTTTTCTAGTTTTCTTTTTTGTTTTTGTTTTCGAGTTTGTCTGTTTATGTTGGTTTTTTTCTTCGTTTTGGAGTCATTGATAGAAGTAATTTAATTCTAGCGCACTGTCAATCCATATCAATAAACTCAATAACAATGAAAGCTAAATTTCCAGAAGCTTTTATGCAAATCTTTGTTAGAATAAGCTGATACGACAAAATATAATTGATTCCAAATTCAATTTTCAGTGTTGTTGAAACAAGTTGACGTTTTGCTTGCCAGCCAGCTTGCTTTTACTGCAAGCATAATTTAGCAATTAAAAGAAACTCAATCGCTTTTAACTTTATTACCTCGCCTCTTTATTTTATGAAATTTCACTGCAAATTTCGCTTTCTTGCCCCTATTTGGCGGCTTTTTTGGCCACCCTTCCTCGAGCGACGCAAATTTCTTAATCTGTTCCAGGCTCCAAGATAGTGGAGATCGAAAAAAAAGTGCGAAAAACTGCGTGAGGACTGGGGGAGAGAGAAGGTGAGTCTCCTTTTCACCCTTCCCGCCTTTTTTCGCTCGCTCGCTCGCGTTTTTCGCTCGTCTAAACTGACTGAGAGCCTGGCACAGGTTACGAAGCTTTGCGATTCACGCATTTCTTATATATCAATTATTATGATAGAAACTAGAACCTACAGAGACGGAAGATGGTGATACAAATTTAACTGTTTTGAACACGACACTAAAAACAGAGGAAAATTGAGAGGATATTACAACGCAAATTGGTTTTACGACAAGACAGGATGTTGGAAACTTCTTTTTATTAAGAATTAATTTGCAGCTGTTAATTAACCTTATGATACAAAATCTACCACGATGGAGGCAGTCGAACCTTTGCAGAAGGAGGGAATTTGCATTTTTAATAATGCATCAACTCGTAGCCCCCCTGCCGTGTTTTTTTTTCACAGAACAGCTTTCTTTCCAACTGTACCTACAGCCCCATTAACAAACTGAACGCTGTGCTTACTCGCAAAGACAATGACATCAACAAATCTAACTGAAGGTGAAAAACTAAAACCAGCCACGAAACGTTTCTGCTCGACAGAATTAAACCGGAACCTACATGAAGAGCTTATCTTTGCTTCAGCGATGCAAAGTTTTTTGTCAGTAACTGCATTTCTGGGGAACACTCTGATCCTAGTTGCCCTACACAAGGAAACTTCACTTCATCCGCCGTCCAAACTCCTGTATCGTAACCTGGCGATAACTGATCTCTGTGTTGGTATCATTGCAGAACCTCTGAGTATCGCATATTATATATCTGTGTTGAATGAAAGAGGGGACATTTGTGTTTACACGTATCAAATAAGTTTTATCGCCAGCAATATCTTTTGCTCTGTGTCTTTGCTAACACTGACTGCCATAAGTGTGGACAGACTTCTCGCCCTGATGTTGGGACTCAGATATAGACAAGTTGTAACTCTTCAGAGAATATTGGCTTTTTTGATTGGTTTTTGGATTTATTCAGGTGGGACAACATTAAGTTCCTTTGGAAATCCTCTTATACATGTTCAGAAGCTGCTATGGTTCACCTGCGTAACTTTATTCTTGTGTCTAGTCACCTTAATATTATCATACACAAAAATTTTCTTCACTCTCCGTCATAACCAGGTTCAAGTACAGGATCATCTTTCTCAAGGACAACCCACCCAAATAATGAATATGGCTCGATACAAAAGAGCAGTGTCCAGTGCGTTGTGGGTAACTACAACAGCGGTTGTTTGTTATCTGCCGTATGGTGTAGCAGAAACTGTTATACTTCAAGAAGAGATGACTTTATCGATTCACCTTACAGAGCATTTTGTGATAACCTTAGTTTACTTGAACTCATCTTTAAACCCGTTGCTTTACTGCTGGAAGATTAGAGAAGTAAGGCAAGCTGTGAAAGATACATTAAGGCATCTCTGCTGTTCACCGAACAGATGGACATAACCTTTCTAAATATCGTAGGTAATTTCTGCTTTGTTGTAAGACAGCCTTTACTGAAAAATAAAATAAATATTTTATTTTTGATAGGATGTCAAAGAACACAAACGTGCTTTGAAGAGAAAGTCGAATAGATTTGTGAGTAGCAAGTTGTACCAATTAATCAACCAGGCGTCAGGGTCCTTCGAATCACGTTAATCGCTTTTGTTTTAAGGTATGATAGTTTGCGAGAGTTATCATTCATGCATTCAGTGGAGGTAGTATTTAAAAGTCATGCAGGTATAAATTTTTTTTTTTACAAACAGAGCAACGTGATTACACCAAAAAGAAATATGTTTAGCTGGAGGTTCGTTTTTTTATTGCTTTGGATTATTTATTGTTTTGTTGTTGTTGATGTTGTTTTGGTTTTTGTTGTTGTTTTTTACATCACCAGAACGGGTGAGCAACGCTGTTTTGTGCTTTATGTCATGTTACTATAATTTGTTCGGTAAATTTATGTGAAACTTTTGTCAGTTCATTTATCACATCTTAAATTGAGCTGGTCATGAGGCGAGAAGAACAGTGACAATCGTGGAACAATCCGCGTTACGTTCTGGACGCCCCTGCAGGGACACACAAGAAACCGAAGAAGACCAAGGACGAGATGGAGGGACGACTTAGACAGAGTCATTAAAACGCTGCCACTGTGTTGCAAAAAACGTTGAGGTCAATGGCGAAGGCTACTTGCAACGGCGGACTACAGTGGCAGAAACTGACAACTAACAAACTTACTTCTCATTAGATTTTTGTATTTTGTTCGTGAAGGATTGCTATTTTAATACCTCACTAGCACGCGTAACGTACAGGCTTTTTATAAGCAAACTTTAATTTCTTGTTGTTGTTGTTGTTATTGTTTCACGTCAAATTTTTAAAAGGTTTTATTCAGTGTTTTTAGGTTAAAGACGTTAAGGGATAAAATAGTAGTGCATTGAAACGTTTACAGTATAGGTTAGAATCACTTTCACAAAATGCCAAGCAGCTGCCAAATTGTATTAAAAACAATATTTACTCAGATTGACTCCCGGGTTTCAGCCCAAACAAAGTTAATGGAAATGAAAAAGAAACCATCGCATCTCGTTACTGGGGCAAACTCCTTTTTCTCTTCGAGTTCGGTGTTTTTTGTTTTTGTTTCCGTGCTTGCTCTTTAAGGGTTGTTTTTTATTTTAGCCTTTTAATAAAGCCCTTAAATGCTGGCGCAATGTCAATCCTAAGTAAATAACAATAAAAGCTAATTTTCCAGAATATTTTCATATTGCAAATCGTTGTCAGGAAAAAAAATTGATTCTAGTCCAATCGTGATTTGTTTAGCCAACGAAACTCAAGTGCTTTTAACTTTGTTACCTCTCCAAATTTCAGGAAATTACGCTACAAATGTCACTTTTCACTCTTATTTGGGATAAACTCAACAAACCCTCAGCTTATCAAAACGCAAGAGTTATCATATATTAATAATTAAAATAGAAAAGGACATTTTTACAGAGACGGAAGATGGCAGTGCAAATTAAAATTTGTTGAAGTTGAAAACAACACTGAAATAAGAAAAGGAGGGAGACTATTTTAAAACGGACGTCTACGAATCGGTTTTATGATAAGACAGGATGCTGAAATAAACGTTCTTCTAATTATGCTAACTAAGAAGTGATTTGCACCTGGTTAACGATATGATACAAAATCCTTTAGTTGGAAGCAATTGGATCCTTGCAGAAAGAAGGGATTTGCATTTTTAATAATGCAGTTGCCTCGTAGCCCAACGGCGGTGTTTGCTTCAACAGAATAGCTCAGTGTTTTTTTGCCATCTGTTTGAGGTCTTTCAACAAGCGAACGTGATGTTTACTCGCGAAGACATGGCATCAACAAATCTAACTGAAGCTGAAAAATTAAAACCGGTCATAGAAAGTTTTTGCGCGAGGAATGTGAAATGGTACCAAAAGGAGGAGGTTATCTTTCTTTCGGCAGTCAATGTTTTGGTGTCAGTAACTGCATTTCTAGGGAACACGCTGATCCTAGTTGCTTTACACAAGGAAGCTTCACTTCATCCGCCGTCCAAACTCCTGTATCGTAACCTAGCGATAACTGATCTCTGTGTTGGTATCATTGCGGAGCCTTTAAATGTCGCATATTCCATGTCTGTGTTGAACGACATTTGTGTTTACATGCAACAGATAAGTTTTATCACTAGCGGTATTTTTTGTTCAATATCTTTACTAACAATGACTGCAATAAGCGTGGACAGACTTCTCGCCCTGTTGTTGGGGCTAAGATATAGACACGTTGTAACTTTCAGGAGAACATTAGCTTTTTTAATTGCTTTTTGGGTTTATTCATTAGTCGGCACGTTAAGTTTCTTTGGAAATCCTCTTATACATACAGTGTTCGTCTACGTAACTTTAACGTTATGTCTATTCACCTTAATTTTCTCCTACACAAAAATTTTCTTCACTCTCCGTCATAACCAAGTTCAAGTCCAAGATCATCTTTCTCAAGGCCAACTGAACCAAATAATGAACATGACTCGATACAAAAGAGCAGTGTCCAATGCATTGTGGGTTACTGTAACATCAGTGGTTTGTTATCTGCCGTTTGTAATAATGGAAGCTGTTACACATGAAACAGATGTGACCTTATCGATTTCCTTTAGCAGGCAGTTTGTAGTAACCTTAGTTTTCCTAAACTCATCATTAAACCCGTTGCTATACTGTTGGAAGATCAGAGAAGTGAGGCAAGCTGTTAAAGACTCAGTAGGGCAACTTTGCTGTTCACCGAACTAATAATTACTTAACAGGTAGTGCCCTTTTTAAATGCCGTTGGTGTTTTCTGCTTTGCTTTAAGACAACTTTCACTTAAAAATCAGGAAATATGTTTTTAGAGCTGCACCAAAATATAATTTTTATATTCTGAAAGTTTGATATAACAAACGAGGGTTTGTTGGAAAAGTCTGAAAAAAATAAGTAGTCAGAATTAAGTTAAGAATTAAGGTTTGTCAACTACATTTAAGGTTTACAGTACTGATATCATCTTTACTGGCTTCTTTCAGGGTTTTCTCAGCTAATATTCTTTAGTTATATAAATAAAGGGCCATTCCTGTGGCCAAACTCATCCCATAATCAGTATTTTGATTTGTATCCCTCTCAGCGCTTCTAGACCTGACTGATGATGTGAAGCAGAAATACACGATGGAAGCTCTCTTAATGGACACTCTTGTAGGTGGATAGCTCTACTTACGGCCGTAGTCACAAAACACCGTTTCAATTTCCATAAAAACTCTGTGTTTTTACATTCCCGTTAGTGGACAATTCCCCGTAGCCAGGCGAGCCGGTGACATTTTACCCACCATGCCGCAGTTCAAACAATGGATAACAATGTACACCGAGTAAATCACCGCTCTCCAGCGAATTCGTGTTAGGAAAACCAATTGTGTTATCCGCTGTATCATGAGAGATTTATCCAGTGGATAGCGTTATGAGAGAGCTTAAGCAGCGGACTTTCTTGAGGTCGCGGACGTCAGAAAGGTAGCGCCCGGTCTGGATCGAGTACACGAGTACGGCGTTTGTGGCGCGAAAAGCGAACATTAAGCAACGAGTTTTGTATAACGCGAGTCACCGCGACACGTCTTGTCTGTGATGAAAATGTCTTCACTCATAGCATTTCGAGCTTCAGGAAGATCATTGTCGCTGAAGTGGCCTCGTGCATTTTCTTTGTCCCATTCTGATATGAATATTTCATCTTTCACATTTATTCGCCGAGCGTGCAATGCCGTCTTGTACTCTTTGATTGTGTAGAGACAAATCAAACGAACAAAAATTACCATACCTGATAGGCTTAGCGAAGTTTTGAAGTTTCATTAATCACAAATGAGATTTAGTTTGCTATTCATTTTCAATGTTGATTGTGCCAAATATCACACGCTTGTGGCTTAAAATCGTTTTCAGGTTACATCATGTAATCAACCTGATGCACGAATTACGTAGTCATATCATTTTTAATTCAATATTTTTTCATTAAAAAGAAAATAGCAATTCATGCTGTCGAAAATATCGGCCCTTAAAGTTACAAGAAGATGAAGCCCTCTTAAATAAGATGTGTGTTCACATAATGATGATTCGCATGGACGAGATCGACTAAATTAATCGTACGCAAATCCCGTAAATCTTGCCATGTTCAAGTTCTGCACACAGCTGGAGCTAACTGGGTCAACCTGTCGAGTCCAGAAATAGAGTTAGAGACTGTTAACCTGATGTTTACATCTCTGACAACGCTGAATGAATGTCGGAAGGGTTTTTCCTTGGTTTTAAGCCAACAATTTAACCACTCACGGACGTAAACACATGCGCAGTACATTCACACTGGCGCGAGTGACTTCAGGTCGGCGTTCGTGAGCTCAAGAACGTTTGCTGCTCTTTATTCTCCTTTTGAACAACCAGGGCCAGCTGTCAATCTTTAATGGTTTAACGTCGTTCAGAATATAGAAACAATATGATTAGAAGTATTTCTCGCACACCAAACTGACATATTTACTTACATTATGAAACGCTTGATTTTGCCTTTTAAAGATCCCTTTCCAGGTGGTTGGTCACGTAGTATTATGCTGACTAAGACCGTGAAACAGAAAAGAGATTAATATCGAATACAGCAAACTCTTGAAAAACTAGCAACGTAGGATTGCACACTCGAAACTCGAATTTAAAAAAAAATATGGTGTTAAATAATTTTACTGGAGGAGTAAGCCAGAAATTAACAACTGAACTTTATTGCAATGGAGAGTTCACTGGAAAAGTACACAGCGAGTTGATTTTTCTTTCAGTATTAAATATTTTTCTGTCCATTACCGCGTTTCTGGGAAACATTCTGATCCTAGTTGCTCTGCCTAAGGTGTCTTCGCTTCATCTTCCTTCCAAAGTTTTGTTTTGTAGCTTGGCGACAACTGATATCTGTGTTGGTATCATTGTAGAGCCTACGACCGTTGTCCATTGGATGTCTGTGGTGAAGCAAAGATGGAATATTTGCTATTACGCGACTGAGGCAAATTTTATCATTAGCAACACTTTATGCTCAGTGTCTTTGGCAATATCAACTGCAATAAGCGTGGACAGACTTCTGGCGTTGTCACTGGGGCTCAGATACAGAAATTTTGTAACACTGAAGAGAACACTTATAACTGTAATCTCTTTGTGGGTTTTGTCCATTTTGATCACGGCAGGCTATTATTGGGATCCTCGCATGAAGTTATGGTGTCAGTTCCTAGGCATATCTGTGTGTCTAATCACCTCAGTTTCCGCTTATACAAAAATTTTCCTTACTCTGCGGCGTAAACAGATTAAAGCTAAGAATCAGATGTCTCAAACACAACCGAGCCAAGCAATTCCACTGAACATTGCTCGACACAGAAAGGCAGTGTACAGTGCAATGTGGGTGCAGGTAACATTGGTTGTTTGTTATCTGCCGTTTGCTTTAGTGGTAGCGTTAACACCTCAAAGAGGGATGCCTTTGTCAATTTATCTTGCCAGGCAATATACAGGAACTGTAGTTTACTTAAACTCAACATTGAACCCGCTCCTGTACTGTTGGAGGATCAGAGAAGTAAGGAGAGTAGTAAAAGATAGAATCAGGCGGTTCTATAGTCTTAAACTGAGCTACGCATTACCGCAAGTTGAGCAATAGCTATCATCAGGTGTTCTGAGACCCGGTTCAGAAGCAGAACTTTTCTTGAGCCAAACCTAATTCGAATTTAGGCCGACCCAAGTTACTTAGACCGGTTCAATAGATTCACACTCCGAATTGAGTTCAAAACGAGAAAAATGCTCATTTCGGTCAAACGGCTTGCAAATACTTTATAATAATTTATGCATTTAGTTCGGCACATGAAAAGTTCGCTGTCTGAACCAAAGTCGAAATTCCTAGCCGGGCTGGGAGGGAAAAATAGCTGAGCCGTTCCAAATTGAAATAGACGTTCCTTATTGATTCAGACGCCAAACTTTTCAACATGTACTTAATTCAGTGTTTTAGGTTCAGCTCATGAAACGTTCGGCGTCTGAACCGGCCCTGACCGTGTAAAATTTGATTGTTTTTGTGTGGTGTATTCGTTACTTATTCTATTTTTTTCCAGTTAAGTAAAGGAGACATAAAATGCAGTGTTTTCCTTTTTTTTTTTACTTTTGCACACCGACTGTCCTATAACCCAAGTGGCATTTTATAGGTACAGTGTAGGTACAGCTCGTGTTTCTTTAGTCTAGTTTCGTCTTCGTTTTCCCAACTTATTGGCTAAATAAGACAATTTATAATAACAAACTAAAAAAATAATTTTTAAGTACTGTATAAGCTGAAAGATAAACACGGAAAAACACCTTTTCCGGCACTTTGCTTGTATCTTTCTTCGACCCTCTATTTAGTTTAGTTTCAAAAGCATGCCTAGTTTAACTTTGAATTTTGTGTACCTGCTGCGCGGTGGCGCGCATGAAATGTATTATAAAAAGGGCGCTGATAGTATATCCGATCCCAGTGTTATTAGATGATGTGATATGGAATATCATTCAAACTATTGTATGAGGCATTAATGTAAAACTGATTCATTTGAGTATAGCAGGTCTGATTGTGACGTCATTGGCGCTGTCAGATTTGGGTAAACTTGCAGCTCGAATTTTATTAACAATTGACAAAACATGGGCAAATAATACCTCTGAAATTTCCTGTAAGAAATAATTGCAGTTTTTAAACGCCTGCTTGTTTACAGACCGGAATTGAAATCGGCGCTGCATAAAAAAAAAACATTAGTTATTTTCGGAACTGCTGTTTAAACAACTCTATCATATAATCAGAGTTTTAAGTCGACCATTGATCTAATCCTCATTTGTTGCAGATGGATGCCTTTGCTGAGCCGTCTACTGACTCGTCCCCATTCGTCTGTCACAACCCCACACTAGTGGCGCGCGGTGTGTGATGAGAAGGAGGAAAGCGAGAAAGAGGGAGACTCTTCCTCTCTTCTCCCTTCCCATCAGCCCCTGCTCCCGCCGCGCTTTACGCGAAGACGACTGGGGACGGGTCAGATCCAGCTATCATGTAGCATTGTCTAATTATCGTATGACTAAATCCTCGAACGGACAAGATTAAGCGAATCCTGTGTTCTGATTGGCTACTCCAGCAGGCAAGATAGGCCCACCTTGCCTGCTCGGGATTTCCCGCTTCGGTCCCGCAAGAAAACGCTCTCTGTTTTGCCATAAAATATATCCTTGGTTAACCAGGCTTGTTTGGTCAAGATGGCTGGATACTGGCCAAGTTCGTTTGCCATTTATGGACCGAGCCATATTGGTTGTTTAAGTGATGTCGGTTCAAAACATCAGTTCACACTGTGATTGTAAAAGTGCGAGCAGACTGTAACTCGTTTAGTCAGGTTACGTGAGTAAGAGGGGGAAGAGAAGTTGGGGGGAGAGCTAATCTCCCAGAGGAGTTGATTCCCCTGGGGCGAGGTAAGAAAACGACTTCGTGAACGTGAACTCGCCTGTCCTATCTGAAGTTCGCAAATACGGTAACGCACTAGATCCTCAACCAGCAATGTTAATAAATACATGATTAAGAAATGTAAAACTAGTACGTACCAAAAATCCTTAATCATTAAAACTAGTAGAATTCGGAATTGTTTAGCGGATGAACTAGGTTTGAGCTCATCGACCTTAGCTTCCTTTAAATCGGTTATTTTTAATTATTATAAATCTGCGTTAGCTGTTTCCTATGGTTGTGAAAACCCACGTTCGTTCAAGTTTAACCGATCAACTTATTACAACATCACAAAACAAATCATGAAAGAACACTGAATAAAAGCAGCTGAAAACTAAAAACAAACCTGGATAAATTCAGCTTTAAAGTTTATATGTTAAACTTAATGACTCAAAATTAAATTTCAGTCAAGGAAATGAATTTCCGAAACTTAAGAAGATTCAGCAGTAAAGCTGTGCAAAAGAATTGAAATTTCCTTTGCTCAGGATTCCTTAAAATGTCAAAACTTAAAACTACGAACGGTTGATATTTGAAGAGGCCAAAGATCCAGTTATTCAGTGACTACTGTATAACAAGAGAGGGTAAAGGGGACAGAGAAGGCATCCCCCATACATACCCTATTCCATAGGTAATTCGTCTCGAGTTATTTTTAGAATCGGGATAAAGTTACCTCGCGCGTTGTGTGGATATTTCGTGAAGGTTTCGCATGACTAAACGTGCAAAACATGTCGGGCGAAAGCCAGTGTCAGTGTAAAGAGATTGAGAGCATTTCTGAATATTGAAGCGAAATGAGTCGGCGCTCACCTGGGAAAAGGGAATCGCTCGACTCTTTGACAACCCGTGAAATCAGTTTAACTCGAAGTTATCGTAACCTCAGTGCTCAAACAAAATGAGAAATTTCGTCGGTCTATTCAAACCGGTCGTTTGTACAATAAAGCAAGTAGCAAGTAATATTAATGTACATGTAATTAGTTTTACAAATTTGAATTTTATTGTAGTTTTTTTTTAAGTTGTTAAGCGCTGTTGATCAGTGAATGTAAATAGCGCTCTAGAAGTTATTAAATTATTATTATCATTATTATTATTATTATAGGGCGCCAAGTGTTGTTTTTGTTGAATAATAAAAGACTAATGAAAGAATAAATAGCAAACCAGAAATTGCTCTCTTCAAACTGTAAATTATAAATGATCCTGAGAGAATATTCAGTGTGTTAAGGATTTCCCTGCTGTACTGTTAGCAAGAGAGGAAGGGGGATTCTTTTTTAATTTCCATTTTGCTGACACAGCTTTAGCAGAAATCTCTCTTTAGTCGTTTTCGTCGACAAAACGAATAGCAATATCGGTCTCCGCGTCTTCCACCATTTTTTTCTGCCTCAATTCGTGAAGGACGCGTGGCTCAGAGCGTTGGTCATCCACGCGGAACACATTCGCGCTACGTGATTGGCTGTTGTCTAATCCCCCTTGGGATCTGTGGTCTTAAAAATAACTCGAGACGAATTACCTATGGAATAGGGTGTGTACAGAGGATGCCTTCTCTGTCCCCTTTATCCTCTCTTGTGTATAATTATTCAGAAACTAATTATCCTTTTAAAAGTCAAAATTGAAAGTGAAATGTGCATAATTTAAAAGAAGTAAAACATTTCAATGCAAATTCAATGTAAATTCCGGCTAAAACTGACAACTTCAAAGGCAACACCTAAAAGCCAGACACGAAATCTGAGGCAAATAAAGAATTCATGGGAAACTCTCTCCTTACAATATTAACACGCTTTCATTATTTGTTAGTTGGTGCAGCCTGCATTTTTTTATCACAATTTTTAGTATCCGAGGAAATTTGCTAGCAGAGGTAGTGAAAATTCGTGCAAATGATCAACATTTAAAGGCGAAAAACTGGGCACGCGAGTTGGGTGTAAGGGACCGATCGTTTATTACGTCCCAAGGAGGGGGGGGGGAGGGGTACAATTTTTGAAAAGGGTTAATTTTGGGGGGTCAGTTTTGAAAATGTACAAAGTGTGAGGCGGATCGAAATTTTAAGACACAGGATTGACATTATGTTGTAGTTGTTAAAACATATCATAATTGAAACAAAAAAAACACTTTTCCTTCATTACTAAACCAAAACGTCGCGCTGACAACTCTTTGTAGACAGGCAACCCGTGATGAGGATTAAGCAATTTATCTCTGAAGGCTTGTTTATTTGGACAGAAAAATTCACTGAATGAAGAATATAGATTGTAGGCTTCTTCCAAATGTAAGTATCCATATCCATGCATCAGATTTTCTTGCACTGCTCTCAGACCTCGAACTGTACAATTCGCGGTCTGCGTCCCTTGCTTTGACCTCTGCAGAATAGACTCCAGCAATAACAAAATTTCATTATTATCAAGACACTGGAGTGAAGATCTAAAATACTTTCCCTTCGTTGACTTTTCTTGGACTTCACACCGTTTCTCATGCCAGCTGAACCCCACCTGACGTGCATCTTCAGGATCCGCATCTTCACTTGCTTTGGTAGCCGCCATTTTGAATGCTATGTAACCAAGCTTGTCCCAGGACCCTATCAACTACTTTTACCTAAACAGACTACCAGAACCCCATGTAGCTTTAATATGAAGTCAATGTCCAAAGAAGGAGAGAAAATCGAGTCGTCTTAAAACTTGGGGTGCTTACTATTTGACAGAAAAATCCGTTCGGGGAGTCGAAAGCATAATGGTAAGCGATATACCAGTTTAGCGCAGAATTGCTACATCCGTTACGGTTTGTATCCAAAAAGAGGGCGAATTTGTGTAGCGTGAGTCTGGAACCGAGAGGGAACCGAGAAATTGGAACCGAGAAGGAACCGAGAAATTGGTTAATGGTAAGCAACATTCCGTTTAGTTTGTACGAACCGGAATGAACGGACTACCTCAAAAAGTACTCCTCAATTTTCGGTTGGAATTTCCGAAAAGTGACCTTACCAATTACCGTCCACTCGG